TCAAACATCTTGAGCGACATGCGCAAAGTAAAACATGTGACAGAAAATAATGCATGATGTCATCTGTACTCACGCGGACATGCAAAAAGGTCAAATCTACAGAAAAGCGAGTGCCGCAAGAAACAGCACAAATAAATATTAATTCAAACAGCGAAGAACTAGAAAGGCAGATTTCTAATTATCGAAGAACAAGAATGTGTCGTAGAGTCCCAGCGCAACTGCCGGAGGATGCTGGCACCCACCAGACAAGTGGTGGCTGCCCCTGCCAGAGAGAAAGAACGAAAACTGAAGCAGAGGAGCCACGTTACAAATAGTGAAACGCACAAGGTAAGAATAATCGAGCAGTGTCCAATTACGGCATACGGAGTAATATACATGTTAAACGAAGACAAACACTAACAAATGGAGAACGTTCCAACATTAAGCCTAGTGTGAAGACGTACTGGAAAGGACCGACTTACAATGACAATAGAAGTGATAACAACAGTGGATTTTAGACATTGTGGAAGACCGCGTAATTAAACCAGAACTTTGAGACTAGAGAAGCTAGAGTGAGAAGCTCCATGAAGAATAATACTGGAGGAGATGCAGCTGAAGTGACAATGAGCGTCACCGGGCCATGAGATGGGTACTGTGATGTCACGTAGAGGAGAGATGGACACGGGAGGGGACAACAAAGAAAGGAGCCCTGAGTGGTACTTCATCTATCAAAAGCCATCTGTCCACGCATGCTAATTGTTGGGAGTTGTACTGTAATGACGTTTTCTCAAAACTGTCACGTGGTAGAGGTCCATTGCATTCGGCTGTGTTAGTAGCGTTGTACAAACTTAAGTTTTATCCTGAGCTTTGTTTCCAGAAAGAAAATGTGTTGTCTGTACAATTGTTTGATGCTATTCCTCGTCGATGTGTGAATAATGCTACATAAAGCGTCATCGAAATTGTCCCAGTTTGACTTTTGAAATAAAACGGGGTATATAATCCTCAGCAGTTGTACCACAGTTAAGGAATCGGACATAGACGATAGTCATCAGTATAGGGTGACAGCAAAGTTCCATTTTCTGTCGCTGGAAACTGAAAATTTTGAACTAGACGCAATGTCTTCGCTGATGTTCCTGCGATGGTACTTTCTACTCACTAAGATCAGTCAGGCATTGCAATCTGCACATTTCTCATGCTTACTAGTATAGCCATTCACTCAAAACTGATCATTGTTTTACCTGAGCTGGGGTGAGAATGACTTCGTAGAACAAGCCGCAGCGCTTGGAGAAACATCGAGGGGGATCAGCAAACTAATGTATGCAAGGAATGCTGAGACAGTCAGTACTGTACCTGCAAGGGCCGTGTAGACTCTGCGTGTACACAGTAGTGTAGAGTTAGTGATGCATGTGCAGATACTGAGTGAATCTACCAGTGATGCTGAAAAAGGGTGCGCGTTCGACGTGATAGTACACTTACCTGCATGAGCAGTGACCAAGCAGATATATTGAATGGGCATCCCACGGCTAAAAAAAGTTCATTATAAGCTCGAGGTGATTCCGTCGACGGTACTCAACCGACCTCGCAACGATCGTGTATTCTTACTGTGTTGGTGGTGATGTAGAATTCATCCAGAGCTAGCAGACGACAAGCATAGCAGCTGTTGTCCTGTGGAGAAAGTCAAAGCATTTGACATAAGGCACGACCAACTTACAACCTTCCTGGAAATTTTGCGAAACGATGTATTTTCGGCAATTTACATCGGCGACAACGACTCCTTCATCTCCGTGTGAAACTCTCAGCCTAACTGTCCTGGAACGTTACTCTTGACTTCAGACTATCATCATGTGTAATAATTTTTGTATGGTTTAGCTTATGGAGTTGTCAGTAACAAGTGACAAGTCACTATTCAAACTGCAACAATTTTGATGATGCTGATGAAGTATATTATTATTATTATTATTATGAAATGACCCAAAGGCAATGTGCCTATCGAGGGGTTCATTTGATTGAAAGAACAGTAGATGTAGATGTATGTACAAAGAGAAGTAGGGATTGATGAGGAGAGAAATGGGGAAAATCAACTGCATGGTGGCGGAATTCCGTTGATTGCATAAGCATAGTCAGCTGTAAATTTCCTGAGGGCAGCTTTGAACTTATAGAGCGAGGCTTCCGATGTTAGACTGGGGGGTAAACAGTTCCATAGAATAGCAGTTCGGAACATGAAGAGAGACTTAGACAATGATTTAAATTTGGGAAGAATGATTTTATTTGGTCGTCGCTCACTATTCGTAATCTTGAAATGGAAATCAGCAAGGTAATCACGATGATGGAAAACATATCTGTGAAAAGTAGTGAGACTGATAATTTGACGACGATAGGCTAGTGACTCTAGGGAGCATTTAGAATTTAAGACAGATTTGGAAGAAGTGTAATCAAATGCAATTTTTTTCTTTTTCAGTAGAGCTCTAGCAAACCTTGCCTGTAATTGATCAAGAGTGGTCATGGGTTTCTTATTAGATCCAAACGACCACACCGTACAGCTATATTCGATCACAAGTCTTACGAACCCTTTGTACAGTATGATCATTGCCGAAGGCGTAAGTTGCTGGGACATAATTGACAGTAGGTGCACTCGATATCTGAACTTCGAAGTTATTGAGGCGACATGTTTGCGGAAATCCAGGTTGTCGGTCAAGGTGATGCCAAGATGTTGCAGTTCAGAAACCACCGTTAATGGCTCATTGTACATTTGGTATTGGATTCCTGCAGTAGGTGTATCATTGATAGCTCTATGGCACAGCACGGATGTCTTGCTTGCTGAGAATTCACCTCCATTGTTCCTGCCCCATGTTTGACATGCATCGAGATCAGACTGCATGTTCGCTCTACTGGCGAGGGTGTCTTCAGGTTTGTAAGCCATATGTTGCGCGTCGGAATATTCCTGGAAAAGGCACGCATGTGGGAGGGAAAAAAACAGGAATGGAGGAAAAAAACTCCTTTCTATGTGTACTGAGCCATGTTGTACACAGAATAGCTGCCCTGCTGAACTATTTCTTACCCAAAACGACTAAAAGTCTCCACAGTACAGCTGGCAGACTGGGCTGGAGCGATGGGGCTACAGGCTTCATGGATGGCTCATTCTGTACTTTGACATGAGTCCGGTAGAATTCCTCTCCATCACGGTCCAGGGAAATCTTGGAGTCCTTGACACCTGGAATCTCTGCTCGCTTGGTGAACAGGCCCTACCGTACGGCTTTGATAAATAGAATTTTCATCTCTCGCACAGTCACACTATCTACTGTATTACCATCGTCGGTCAAGATTATCGAGAAGCTGATAACCTTTGATTTGATACTGGCTAGAGAATGTTCACCAGAACAGCCATCGATTGACTCATCTGGGTGTTTGTTTTCTTTTTTTTTGTCAACTGTTCAATGTGCTCGTTGTAAATATATCAGTCTAAATATATCAGTCTTTGTTTTGACCCACAATGGACTCCTGCGTGGCTACAGGCGTACACATTGTGGCAGCTGTTGTGTCTACGAGTGTGGAATTAGGAAAGAACCCTCTCCTCCTCTAGCCAGCAGTTCGAGCATCCCCAGCTCCGAGACAGTCTCGTCATGCGTCGTCGTCGTCAGTCAAACGTTTGGGAACACTAAATGTCAGTCCAGTCATGCCCGGCATGCACTACGCTCTGCTTGTGCCTTCCTACTTGGGACCTATATTCTTCATCAGCAGTCACGCCACTGCTCCTTGTCTCTCCTGACCGTCATCCCTGTTCAGCCAGTTCATCGTCCCGCATGCTCTGTCTCTCGGCAGCTCCAATAAGCCTGCTGTTGAGCACTAATCGCCATGTTCCCATGCCGTGCTCAATCCATCCGTCTAGGAGAGAATGAGATGTCACTGTATGGACGTGCCTCAGCCTCGAGCGTTCCGGATCCGCTCTGACTCATGAAGGAAGGAATTGTCAGGCACATGGTTAGCTGTAGCTCATTCTCTCTTTGCGCTTTCGATTACACGTTTATACAATTCTGGAACTGTTTTTTTAAATTCTGGAATGACCAGAATTTACCGATTCCGGCCTTGTAAACGAACGACTGGAATTCCCAACGCATTTTATTCATGTCATGTCACAAACAAAATTGATGAATCGTAAAAAGAGATCCTTCTGTCCCCTTCTTGCCTGAATGCAGTATGTAAGAATGTTCCAGAGCACTTCAAGATTCACGTGCGGGCTCGCAGCAAATGTCACCTAGATGGGCTAGAGGCTGTTTACATTGCCAAGCTTCAGCCTGAGTTGTGTAGACAGAAGGAGTTTGTTAGGAAGCTAGTACTATTTTGACTTCCCACCTCTCTGTTATAGTGCGTGTACTCTTTGGCGCAACTCACACTATCATTCAGCCTGTGTACGTTTCATCACGATTTTTCCGCCAATATGCTGTATAAATTGACATCGTTGTGCTTCGTCACATTATCACCATGTACTGATTTTGAAGAGTAATGGTACGAAAGGCTTCATCAGATTTTCAACTAGCTTCGTCTCTTTGTGGGCGAATATGTTTCCCTCCAACTAAGTCTCTATAATTATATAGTATTTTCCTTGTTCTTTTTTTTCTTCCCGAAAAAGGGATATATTGTATACATACGCCTTTTCTCTCTCTCTCTCTCCCCCCCCTTCTTCCCCGGAAAGGGAGATGTTGTGTATAGTTCTTGTCGCCGTCTTCTCTCTCCGTATTGTCTCTCTCTCTCATCTATTATACGCATGCTCTTTGTAGATAATCAGTCTTTGTCTTGTCCCACAAGGAAATCCTGAGAGGGGAGAGAATCCTGAGGGGTCCCACAAAGGAATCCTGTGTGTTTGTGTGTGTGTTTATGTGCGTGTTTTTGGATGTGTCTTTGTGTGAGTGCATGCATGCATGCGTGCGTGTGTGTGTGTGCGTGTGTGTGCGTGTGCATCAACATGTGTATGACTGTGGGTATGTGTGTACATGTCTTGTCTTTAATTTTGCTGCGACTTCCAGCATGGTAACACACCATTACATGAGGCAGCAGAGAGAGGTCATGTTTCTGTAGTAGAATATCTTCTCACTTCTGGACATTCGTTGGAACCAAAGAATAATGTAAGTCATATTATCCGTGATGCATTCTTGTTTGTATATGAGTAGAAAGAAGAATTACGCAGGTGAATAAATTCAGTATTGACCATGCCTGTGGGTTTGCTTTACGCTAGAAATTCACATTTGGCAATATTTTTACAAATTATGTCCACAAAAAAGTTTCGTTCGATTCAAATATGCTATAATACTAAGTAGTAGCACAAACTTCAGGCTGTTCAACATCATTGTGAAAATTAATGTTTTGTGCGAATAAACTTCCGTGCCTTCTCTGTATGTTGTTACGTTCCTTCTCACGTACATTGTCTCCTTCCTCATCAACAAGGTGATATAGCGGCTCGAGCAAACGAGAGCAAGAACAATGAATTATGGATATGCATGATGTATATTGGTCATGCATTTATCACCGTTGTTTTTAGCTATTCTACTTTGACCCGGTTGTATCACCTCATTGCTGTACATAATTCATTGTATATGCTCTTGTTTGCTCTTGCTTGTATATCACCTGAGGAGAAGGTACGGAAGTTTACTCGCGAAACCATTAGATTATTATGAATGTTGTTGAAGAGCCTAAGGTTTGTCCCCTCAACATAACGAGCAGGTTTCCTTTGCTTCATAAGCCTGGAAAACATTTAATGAGTTACTTGCGTCACATCAAACGTGCTCGTAAGTCCAATGTCTTGAAGAGATCTGGTATATGGTTTCACGTTGGCAATTCGAGGATCGCAGCATCTATGCTTCCTCCGGAAACTCTCTTGAGTGCTGGACTCCAGGTGCCATTGTATGATCTACAAGCGCATGTCATCCAAGTGCCGGCTGGCAACTATCAAGGTCCATGGCCTCCGGCATTACTTCGTGGTCAACCCCCTGTCGTTGTCCCCGTTCCAGGAGGGGCGACTGGACCTGCTGCTCCAGGGTATCGCCCGCAACCAGTGCAACACCTCCGTGCAATGCAGGGCTTCCTGCCACACTCTGCCACACTGCCACACTTCCTGCCACACTCTGCACATGAGACAACCTGCTGGTGAGGCGCTGGTATGCAGGGGTATTTCTGACGACTACGAGAAAACGTAGTTAGGAGACTCCGGGTGAGATGATCCACTTGCGACATCAACTAATTACTTGTACGAGTACGTTCTCTCCACCATTTTCTGCCCTCAGCTGCCAGCCGCATTGCGCGGGGCGACGCGCTCGATCTCCAACACGACTGGGGATTACTGCGAGCAGAAAATGCGTCTGGATCGGCAAGGCACGGGGCGGAACCTGAGAACAATCTGCCGGCATGCTGCTCGGCAAAATGTTCTGCGTGAAGATACTGGGACTGGAAAAATTGCCGGTTTGTTTGCAAGCCAAGTGAAAGAAACGAAAGCTGTAGCTAGCCGACAATGCCGGGAGAGCAAGAAACTTACAGGACAAACTGACGGAAAAGTTGAATGTTCCGTGTGAAGATACGTATATACCGGGACTGGAAAACTGCAGGTTTGTTTGCCGGCCAGGTGACAAGAATCAAAAGCTTTAGCAAGACGACAATGCCAAGAGAGAAAGAAACTAACTGGACAAACTGACGGAAAAGCTAAAACTGCATTTTGACACATCAAGAAATCAACTGCAAAGAAACGCTCCTTCACATCCCGACAGTTCAAGAGCTTGAAGAAGACACGTCTTCCGATATGACACCATTACAGGATTTCCGTAAAATTTCGCGAGCTTGCAAATCGTGCAGGGACAGTCACATGACACACATTCACAGCAACATGCCAAGATTGCGCGTGTGCCAGGGCTAACTAGGCTTTGCTGCACAAAGCCCACATTTTGTATTAATATGTGTTCACATCCCTGCGAGGTTCGTTGCCCGTCCTGATCACTCACAACCCAACCAAATCCAACCGCCAGACGGTCGACCAATATAGTCGACGACCCAACTTAGTGCTCTGCTCACCTTGATTCACACTTGACAACGAAGCGAAGACAGGTAAGGATTCTGAGAATCTCAGTCGATCAATCAAGTCCGGGAGAGAGTTATGTGAGTTATGGTGAAGACATCGTTCATTTTATACACTAGAACGAAGAGAGAGAGAGAGAGAGAGAGAGAGAGAGAGAGAGAGAGAGAGAGAGAGAGAGAGAGAGAGGTTCGTGCAAAGCATTGCGTGATTGTTTCTTGGAAGGCGGCATGGAATACAGGTTTGACAGATCAGGCATAGTAGGAAATAGCAAAAGATCAAAAGTTCAAATAACGGAAAACGACAATGAAGAAGAAGCACAAACGGAGCAAAAGGCCGGATCGGGACGTAGGGAGCCCGCTCACCTACGTCTCCGCAGAAATTGTGAGATATATGGATCACGTCGGGGAGCCCGCTCACCCGACGTGATAGAACAGCGTAACTCCGGCGGGATGTTGTGCCAAATACTGCGCCCTTTTCCAGGAACTTCACTGGCGGGCCCTTCGCGGGTCACCGCGGCGTTGCTGTACCACGCTTGCCACGCCTCCCTTTTGTGCCTTCATTTTGCGCACGGTTCCCCTATCTTTTGCGCACGCCTCTCGTTCTTCTACACTCAGCTCCTATTCTTCTGCACTCAGCTCTCACTCTTTTGCGCACGGCCCTTCGTGACTTGCACGAAGCGCGAAAGGGATCATGGAAATCAATAGGACTTCACAGTCACATGATTTTGCATGAAGCTACATTTCCAGGAAGGAAAGAACCTCCGGGAACATTCCTAGAACATTCCACACGAGAACCTACCTGACCAGATTCCGGCGGTGAATCCCACGATGTGTCATGTCCAAGAGACATGACACCGACATGGGATATCACGCCTAAAAAGCCTGACACCTACATGGAACAGCTCGTGCCGCTCAACCTACATGCTCAACACGTGGCACAAGACACTGGCCAAACCATGTGACAGTATAGATTGTGACAGCTCAAACACAGAGCTGCGCACTAACTTACATAGATCCTGCTACCACAGGACCTGTCATACTGCGAGCGTCGCGTCCAGGACGTGACATTTCCCCCGCCATTAAAGAATCACGTCCCCGTGATTGTACTCAACCAACATGATACTCAGCGAGATACCGCGGCGGCTGCCTGTTTCGGATAGGTCGTCCCCCAGGTGCCGCGATGGGTGCACCGGGCAAGTCAACTGGAGCTGCCGGAGGCACATCCAGTCCACCATAGGTTTCGGCACAAATACCGTCGTCATCGGCCGAATACAACACATCGGTAGTATCAGGCTCATACGACCCAGAGCCGGCAGAATCATCTGCCGTCGTTAGTGGCTGCAAATCGGTTGAGTCCGTGACATCCTCTCCTACTGCTGGAAGCAGATGGTCAGGCCTCACACGGCATCTCTTCAACCGGTTTACATGCACAATCTGCAGCTTAGCTGCCCCGGCGGTGTCCCGGATATGGTCTTCACACGTTTGGAGTTGGTGACCACTTGCGTCAGCCCAGTTGCCAATGTCTTTGGGTCAGTCAACAGCTAGAAACGGGAATCTCCCCACTTAGCGGCAAGGGAAATGCCTTCGACTGCGGCTTCCAATTCAGAATTGTTAATATGCCGCTTGTCGTCAGACTTATGAAGCCACGAACCATCCTCGACGATGTCACCACCGACTTCCAACGCCAGGCCGACAACAATATCAGATGCATCGCACCACCCTTGGCATTAGCTTTCTACATGCCACATGCCGGTAGCAGGATCGTGCTGGCTTAAACGACAAGCGAGACTCCTGCAGCATTGTACGAGATCTGCCGGTATCGGATCATCCCAGCCAAGCTTCTCCAGACATGCTAAACGCTTCAGCCAACTTCAATGAGGACAAAGCCATGATGCAACAGGGCCGTGGCTCGTCAACTGGCCACACCACTTGTAAAGCTCACGTTTCGTCGTGACATCGGCAAATGCGACAGGCGATTCATCACGCCGGGACAGGCGCACTCGACCATCCTCTGACTCATTGAGCTGCAACCCGAGAACACGTGCCGCCGACATCTCCATTGCTGGTTAAGTTGGCAGGCTGTAGCTAGCAAGATGTTCTGTCAACACAGTCCGTTGACTCTTGGAAACAATGATGTCGTCGACATAATTATCTGTCTCGGGCAAGCTGCCGGTAGTGTACTTGATGATGGTGTTCATGAACGTCGACGCCACACTCAGGCCAAACGCCATATGCGTCATTACGTAGAGAACACCACGCCACTCTACAACTTGGACCCGTAGCAACTCTGGGCTGACATGGATTTGCAAGTACGCCTTGGTAATGTCCAGTAACTCAAACTCGTCAGCTTCGCACCCTTGAGCCTCCACTGGCGCATTGACTCGGCGCACACATGAGATTTAGTTCCAGGGTGGGACACTGACAACTTGTTCAAGTGGCGATAGTCTAACACCGGACGCACAGGCGTAGTCGTCTTGTGCGGCTGACTCACAGCAATCAACAGCAAGACACAGGCTGGGCGACCATGGGTGTCAGCGGTGTGCTTCACCAGCCAGCCTCTTTCAATCCACTCATCCGCAGCTGAGCAGAATTGTGTCTCCTCTTCTGCGGTAATGTTCTTCCGCGGGTACTCGCTGATACCCGGACCATCACGGCCTTTGGGTTCTTCATCAGACTTCCCATTTAACCTTCCAACGCTTCTCGCCGTCATCAACCTTCAGGATGACATCATTGTCGTCAGTCTCTCCTTGGACATGATGAGACAGCTTTGAAGGGGGGGGGGGGGCGCGTCGAATCTGCAGGCATTGTGCAGTCATCGGCGGCTGGCTGGAGAACTTCGTTGTTAGCACTAGGGGCCATACCGTCGGTCAGCTGATCCTCATACACTAGCACTCGTGTAGACCGTTCAGGAGGCGCTTTAGCTGTTGATGCAACTAGTACTGGCGGGCTACTATCTACATGGGCTGCACCGGGCCCAATTACGACACACACGCGCTGATCGTTCGCATACTCGACAGACAGGTGGCCACACAAAGTCACCAGGTCAATGCCAATCAGTACGTCGGCGCCCACTACATGTACACACAGATCAGGCACAACCACAGCATTCAATGCATACTTCATGCATACTCACTGATCCGTCATGCCTCGAAAACGTGAGGGTCACTGTACTACACGTCTGCATGGTGTTGCCATCCAGCGCTACAACACTGTCACTATTCGTCAGTGGCATCACATCGAGACCAAGGCAATGCAGCAGGGCTTCTGTTACTAACGTGCGGGTGGAGCCAGTGTCTATCACTGCTGCAGCACGCTCACTGTCACTCGCGTTAGGACCTGCACATTCAACAAACACACGAGGTAGCTTCGGGCACGATGATGATGCAGATGCCAGGAGGCACACGTCCTTGGAGTAGACTGAGGCCCCAGCAACTTAGGAGCTAGCCTGTGTATCCAGCCACTACTGCCTCAGCACGCAGTCCTTCTTGACATGCCCTTTCTTGTCACAGAAGCGGCAGAACAGGTCCTTGCGCCGGTGCTCTTGCTTAGCACCATTCCCTGCTAGGGATAGCTTCGGGCAATGCCTTTTGAAGCGGCTCGGTTCTCTACAATGGTAGCAAAGCCGTGGTGATGGCATGGCAACACTGTCTTGCAAAAATGTGGCAGCTGCGGACACTGCACCAACTCTGGTGCCGGCTGCTGATCGCAGTGCCCGGATCCTATCAAGGCATTCATACACCTTCAGGTCCCTGCGTGCCATGGACAAACGAAAATCCTTTGGAAACACTCACAGCCCACTCGACATTGGACCAATTACTTGCAATTAGTGCCGGCTGGCAACTATCAAGGTCCATGGCCTCCGGCATTACTTCGTGGTCAACCCCCTGTCGTTGTCCAAGTTCCAGGAGGGGCGACTGGACCTGCTGCTCCAGGGTATCGCCCGCAACCAGTGCAACACCTCCGTGCAATCCAGGGCTTCCTGCCACACTCCGGTCTATCACCAGCAGGAGATGTTGTGTATAGTTCTTGTCGCCGTATTGTCTCTCTCCGTATTGTTTCTCTGTCATCTATTATACGCATGCTCGTTGTAGATAATCAGTCTTTGTTTTGTCCCACAAGGGAATCCTGAGAGGGGAGAGAATTCTGAGGGGTCCCACAAATGAGTCCTGTGTGTGTGTGTGTGTGTGTGTGTTTTGGATGTGTCTGTGTGAGTGCATGCATGCATGAGTGTGTGTGTGTGTGTGTGCATGCGTGCGTGCGTGTGCATCAACATGTGTATGACTGTGGGTATGTGTGTACATGTCTTGTCTTTAATTTTGCTGCTACTTCCAGGAAGGTGACACACCATTACATGTTGCAGCAGAGTATGGTCATGTTTCTGTAGTAAAATATCTTCTCACTTCTGGACATTCGTTGGAACAAAAGAATAATGTAAGTCAGATTATCCGTGATGCATTCTTGTTTGTATATGAGTAGAAAGAAGAATTACGCAGGTGAATAAATTCAGTGGGTATTGACCATGCCTGTGGGTCTGCTTTACGCTAGAAATTCACAAATGGCAATTTTTTTTACAAAATTTATGTCCACAAAAAAGTTTTGTGCGATTCAAATATGCTATAATACTAAGTAGTAGCACAAACTTCAGGCTCTTTATGTTGTTAGGTTCCTTCTCCCGTACATTGTCTTCTTCCTCATCAACAAGGTGATATAGCGGCACGAGCAAACGAGAGCAAGAACAATGAATTATGGATATTCATGATGTATATTTGTCATGCATTTATTACCCTTGTTTTTAGCTATTCTACTTTGACCCGGTTTTATCACCTCATTGCTGTACATAATTCATTGTATATGCTCTTGTTTGGTCTTGCTTGTATATCACCTGAGGAGAAGGTACGGAAGTTTACTCGCGAAACCATTAGATTATTATGAATGTTGTTGAAGAGCCTAAGGTTTGTCCTATCAACATAACGAGCAGGTTTCCTTGGCTTCATAAGCCTGGAAAACATTTAATGAGTTACTTGCGTCACATCAAACGTGCTCGTAAGTCCAATGTCTTGAAGAGATCTGGTATATGGTTTCACGTTGGCAATTCGAGGATCGCAGCATCTATGCTTCCTCCGGAAACTCTCTTGAGTGCTGGACTCCAGGTGCCATTGTATGATCTACAAGCGCATGTCATCAAAGTGCCGGCTGGCAACTATCAAGGTCCATGGCCTCCGGCATTACTTCGTGGTCAACCCCCTGTCGTTGTCCCCGTTCCAGGAGGGGCGACTGGACCTGCTGCTCCAGGGTATCGCCCGCAACCAGTGCAACACCTCCGTGCAATCCAGGGCTTCCTGCCACACTCTGCCACACTGCCACACTTCCTGCCACACTCTGCACATGAGACAACCTGCTGGTGAGGCGCTGGTATGCAGGGGTATTTCTGACGACTACGAGAAAACGTAGTTAGGAGACTCCGGTTGAGACGATCCACTTGCGACATCAACTAATTACTTGTACGAGTACGTTCTCTCCACCATTTTCTGCCCTCAGCTGCCAGCCGCATTGCGCGGGGCGACGCGCTCGATCTCCAACACGACTAGGGATTACTGCGAGCAGAAATTGCGTCTGGATCGGCAAGGCACGGGGCGGAACCTGAGAACAATCTGCCAGCATGCTGCTTGGCAAAATGTTCTGCGTGAAGATACTGGGACTGGAAAAATTGCCGGTTTGTTTGCAAGCCAAGTGAAAGAAACGAAAGCTGTAGCTAGCCGACAATGCCGGTAGAGCAAGAAACTTACAGGACAAACTGACGGAAAAGTTGAATGTTCCGTGTGAAGATACGTATATACCGGGACTGGAAAACTGCAGAAGAAGGAACGCATACAAAAAAAAGAAAGAGAGAAGGGTAGCTGACCTGCATGGCTTGAACGACACGAGGTTGATATAGACGAGACGAGGTTGGCGTAGGAGAGACGAGGTTGATAGAGATGAGACGAGGTTGGCGTAGGAGAGACGAGACTGACATGGACGAGACGAGGTTGACATACACGAGAAGAATAGTGGTTGAGGACGGCTGGGCATGGGATGATCTCAGGGTCGTGGGTCGCTCAATAATCGGGCGCCAATGTTGAGTTCGAAACAGGACGACTGACGACACATTATCCAGACATTACAACGGGAACAGGTAGGTTGGGGAACGACATTTATTATAGACGACGAGACAAGAGACCAAGACGAACGAAACGACTACATGGTGATTATTGACGAGTGAGAAAAGAGAGAGAGAGAGATCAAGTCTGAACGGCAAGATAAAGGGCCTGGGTAGCTATGGCAAATATGGGCGCGCAAGTAGCTACCCAGGCCAACGGAGCAAAAGGAGACAAAAGGTGAGTCCACAAGTGCATGCAGGCCAGCTAGAAAATGTACGGGAGGTGGTACCTAACAGTATCATGCTTAGCACGAGGGTAGTGCGAGGTCACGTACCGTGTATACATGGCGACAGACAGGGGAGTACTATGCCGTGAATGGATGAAAGGATAACATAATACCGGATAGGACAAAAATGAAATGTACGCCATGACGGATAAGAAACCTGCATGATGAATATAGAAATGGGAAATGAACACGATCAACAGAGACAGTCTGGTCCTTACCATTGATACGCAGAGTGAAGTACTTGGGACTGCACTTGACCACGGGGAAAGGACCATCATCCAGCGGTTGGAGTGGTAGCCGAACTGCAGCACAGCACAAATACACTGTAGCGGCTGTGTCCAAATCGCGGGGCAGATAGACAGGATTCATGCTAGTACGGACAGGAAGAGGACGGATCTGCCGCAGGAAGGTAGACAGACAAGATGCGTAATCACTGCGGTCGCTGGCAGGAGTCAAAGAACTAGACGGGAAGAATTCACCAGGAAGGCGCAGCGTTTTACCGTAAACCAGTTTGGACGGTGAACAGTTGCTATCAGCCTTGGTCGATGTCCGGATGCTGAGCAGAATAAACGGTAGCGCTTCCAGCTAGTGATTTGAGTCAGAGAGAGTCCGCAGTGATGACTTTGCATGCCGATGGAATCGCTCAATTAAACCATTGAATTTGGGATGGTAGGTGGTGGTGCGCTTGCGCTTGCATCCCAGTAGCTTCATCAAACTGTTCCAGAGGGCCGACTCAAATTCACCACCCCGATCTGTGACGAGAGAAGAGGGTACACCAAACCGGGCAATCCAGCCAGACACTAAGGCATACGCAACAGTGAATGCAGTGGCATCAGAGATTGGAAAAGCCTCAGGCCATCAGGTGAATCGATCAATGCACGTCAAGAGATAACGATTTCCGTTGAATGAAGGAAGAGGACCAACGAGATCAATGTGGATGGAATCAAAACGCTGATCCGGCACAGGAAAGCTACCAATAGCAGAGTGGGTATGATGCTGGGCAACACAGCCTTGCCCAAAGGTGGACGCTGCGGACACTGCACAAACTCTGGTGCCGGTTGCTGATCGCAGTGTCCGGATCCTATCAAAGCATTCATACACCTTCAGGTCCCTGCCTGTCATGGAGAAACGGACAATATTTGCAAACACTCACAGCCCACTCGACATTGGACCAATTACTTGCTTTTGCACAAGAAGAACTAAAACTAAAAGAGCTAGAGAAAAAGGATCAAGGCTCGCGCACCCAGATGACATGGACATAATGGCGACCTACGTCATCGTGCGCACTCACAATAATACTAGAAAAAGTGATACTAGAAAATGAAGTAACGCCAGGAAAAGAGCGCGGATAAACTAGAGAGCTTGGAAGCTCAGGGCCCTACGCTATGCTTTATGCTTTTTTGCCTAGCTCATCGTACATGTTATTAGAACTGATGGAAATATTTTTCCGCTGATTGGCCACATCATTGTATTGCAAAAACGTTTCCATCAGTTTGAATATGAGTTAGGCAAAAGTATTTGCCGAATTTAGTGCGGATTGTTATTTTTCTATTTTCATCCACTTTTGGTTTGCTTCTTCTTTTCTTTTTATCTCCTTATACTGTAAATCAACACATTTTTGGCCGATGGGAAACTTTGGTCGATGAGAAACGAAACTTTTCTCCGTCATTACGGAGGATTAGCAGGACGAAATTCGTGTTCGCGTTCGCAAACATTTTTCAGTTCGCGAACTGGATTGCGATCTCTCGCATTTTTCGTTCGGAAAAGTAGTCGGAACACGAATCGCGGATTCGTGTCAGGACAGTCATAAATTATTTACCACGCTGTACTGTCTGTTTACAATGTACGTCGTGTCAACGTCATGCATGTCCGAATTCTGTTTGCTAATCCTTCTCATAATGCGAATTCCGTCACTGAGTTCGACTTTCCTTGGAGAGCGAACGCGAACGCGAATTTCGTCTTGCTAATCCCCATCATTTGCCTCTATGACAAACTGTGGCCTGCGATTTACTTTGGCCGGCTGGTAGCAAGCGGCGAAATCAGCGAAATTAAATCGCCAGCCAAAATTTGTTGATTTTAATACAGTAATCGGATTTTCTGGCCTTTTTGTAGTATTTCATTGACCTGTTGAGCCAATGAAGACGGCCGAATGCATGATTGCCTATGGAGCACATTACATAACTTTACAGTCTCCTAAAATACATATCCTGTCCGACGGCTAAAGAGGCTGCAGATTTAGTTTTTTCTGTGCGTCGAAAGGGATGTCTGTCCTGACGTTTCCTGGGCCCAACGCTAACTCTGCCGATCACAAGCGTTCTGGAGTCGACGGGATGTCTGTCCTGACGTTTCCTTGGACCGGCGCTGACTCTGCCGATCACGGGCGGTCTGGACTCGACGGGATGTCTGTCCTGACGTTGCCTGGGACCGGCGCAGACTCACCCGATCACGGGCGTTCTGGAGTCGACAGGATCTCTCTTCCGACGTTTTCTGTGACCGGCCCTGAATCGCTCGTTCACGCTTATTTTGGAGACGACGGGATCTCTCTTCCAAAGTATGTTTTTGCTGACGCATCCTATCATCTATTCGGCAATTAATGTCCATTCTAAATTCATTTCCTCATCGTCTCCCTATTTCTTAGCAAATCTCCCTCTACACCAAGGAGTCGTATACAGAATACGACGAATATTGTGGCCAGCTGTTTGTACGGGACGGTATCGGACAGATACGGGAGCCAGCAAATATTGTGGCCAGCTGTTATGTAAAATCCTGTAGAGCCTTTGTAGTCACAGATACGGGACAGATACGGGACAGATACGGGATAGCTCCAGGCGTCACACAAACACACAAACAAACAAACTAAACAAACAAACAAACAAATACCAAATTAAAGCTGTGCGGACCATGGCTAGCGCCAGACGTTACTGAAGTAACGTCTTCTGCATAGCTACGGGTGTTGTGAAACTAAAGTGTCAGAAAAAAAAACTAAACAAACAAACAAACAAATACCAAATTAAAGCTGTGCGGACCATGGCTAGCGCCAGACGTTACTGAAGTAACGTCTTCTGCATAGCTACGGGTGTTGTGAAACTAAAGTGTCAGGAACGAATGACCCCACACGGCACGAGGACAACTATTTATTCTCAACAGTATATTCCACTTCCATCGACTAATAACAATGAACAATGAATGACTGAATGAACAACTGAATAACTAACACTAAAACCACCAGGTAGTTATTGCGTGAAAATGACAGCGTATATGAGAAAAGCATACACATACAACATACAGGTTTACAACTACAGCGCACACAGCAAACCGCACATAGCGCCTGTAGCGTATGCCACGTCGTAAACGTCTGCCCAGTGTTGACTCCGAGACCCACGGTCGGACGAGCTGCCCAGGCCTCACCACCACTGCCGTTTCCGTGCTGCCTTCTCGATACATACGTATGTACACTGTATATCATGTGCACATTCACATGTCTGAAGGTTTGTGGTTTTTCAATAAAAAAAAAAAAAAAAAAAAAAAAAATCAGCGGTACGGCGGAGTCGGGATACAGCTGCATTGAAACGAACACAATGTCACAAGCGAGAAGGCCTTTCACTCTCGAGAACTTGTCGTTCCACAACATTCTCCCCACCAAAGGGCTTCTAACCGCCGTACAACAACGGCCTTTCAGTTCATTGACGGCCAGGTCAATAGTGATCTGCGCCTGCACATCAGGATATCCAGCCCTGCAGTAGGGATCTCAGTGCGTGCAGTGCGTCGGGTGTTTGCGCATACATTGCGTCATCGAGTTTTGAGTGCAGCTCGGGGACACAGCATAAAATGGCGACGGTCGATTCTCGACATTAGCGGAAGCGGTGGATACTAGCGGAATCCTAATCTTTATCGTCATTCGATCGTACTTTGCGATATCCGCCGACGGACACGGTGGCCAAGGCGATATCGCCCCGGTCGATTTTCCTTATAATTTGCCATGCGGCAAAAACCCACTTCAGAGTTGATTCACCCAAAAATTCAGACGTTTTCTCTGGTTAGATTGTCCAAACTTCGATTTTCAGTGCATCAACCATCTTGAAGATCGCCGCCATTATCACTCAGAGAGAAAACATCGCGCTCAGTATAGGAGGTGTTCATGCTGCGTCCAAGATTGAAATCTTGTGCTCTTTGACCCTCCATAGTTCCTCTGAGAGAGTGTCTGGGAGATAGGTATACTTGTAGATTGCCGTAGAACGTGTTGTCCTGGACGACATTCAGCCATTTCTACTGTCTTCTTCAACTTGATTTATTTCGAAAAAATGTTCTTTTCCACGGTTTCTGCACTGGACGCGTTTGGGATCGAAAACCTCACCTGCGCAGATTGGCTGCACAGTTCACGCGCTGAGATCCCTACCTCCAGTCCTCGATGTCGCAGTTTGACGGGCGTACGAAGTTACAATGATCTAGGAGGTCGAGAATCGCCGCAGCCTTCCGGTTCCCACACCAGCCTGCTCTGCCCTGACCGCCTCAATGCCTCAGGCACACTCCGCAGGTCAACTCGAGGATCCGACTTCTACATCCAGTGCCACCTTGGCCCACTTAGCTCCGAGTCCGACTTCGAGCTCCACCGACCCGCTCGTACTATTGTTGTTGAGCAAAATTTCGGACCAGCTAGCTGATCTACAGGTCCACTCCACAACCTCCGCTCCGTCGCCACGGGCGTATAGTGATGACACTTGAGCTCCACGCGGCCGTAGTCACCGCGTTTTTCATCGAAGCGCGCCCGTGTCGGCCCAAACTCGATTTCCTGGCGATAGTGCGGGTTCGAATCCTAGGTCCTAGGTTTGTCTTGAAAATGAAAAAGCTTAGTTGGAACGCAAGTGTCTTTCCTTTTTTGCCTAGGTCATCAAGGTGGTAGACGGCGTCGTATTACCCTCGACTACAAAGAGAAAGTTTATTTATTTCTCTCAGGGCCTACGCTATGTTTTTGGCCTAGCTCATCATGCATGTTATTCGAACAGATGGAAACATTTTGCAATACAATGATGTAGCCGATCAGTTCGTTTTGGCATGGTTGGGCATTGTAGCCATCATGGTCGACGTAAAACACTATTTACATACACAAGCTCGGGGAGCAAAGGTCTCTCTGTCCCACGAGCTGCCACATACCAACTAGATACAAAACTATGCACTTCACCCGAGCTGACTTGCATGCTTGGCTTTTTTCACAAACCCAGACAAAGGGATTGGTATAATTATTATAACGCATGTACGGATTCACTAGACTACACTCGCACAAGAGATGAAGGGGAGAGCTGTTGTCGAAGAACTGCAAACGTTAAAGATGCCTGGCCCGATCTCGTACCTGTAACGTACCGTACCATCAAAGACAGCCGGCCACAATATTCAAATAGTGCTTTCAAATGCAAGATCATGACGTGAAGCAACTTGGAAGAATGAGTATGTATGCAAAGTGTATCGGGGAATGCATGCAGGGCGATAGTGCATGTTCGAATCCTAGGTTATGTCTTGAAAAAAAACGGAGAAATGGAAAATTTATAACAACCCTATGCTTTTTTTGCCTAGGTCATCAAGGTGGTACGCGGTGTCGTATTACTCTCGAATGCAAAGAGAAATTTTATTTCTTTCGCTCAGGGCCCTACGTTATGCTTTCTTGCCTAGCTCATCATGCATGTTCTATACAACCCAATAAATTCTGCAACTCATATAGAAACTGATTGGAACATTTTTGCAATACAATGATGTAGCCAATCAATGGAAAAAAGACATTTCCATTAGTTCTAATAACATGCATGATGAGTTAGGGAAAAACTCACAACGTAGGGTCCTGAGCTTCCAAGCTCTCTCATTAATTCTTTTTTTCAAATGGGTCTAAGTAACCCGCCTCCTCCCCCCCCCCCTGCCCCCCCCCCCCTCCCCAACCCCACAGGGTTGCTGACCTGCCTGAACCAGCTATGGAGCTTACACTGCGCAAAGGCTATAACCAAAATAATTGAAAACCAACCCATCACAGATGCCAAGTAGAAGGCATCAATTCCAAATGAATTCTTCATCGATATGCCAGTGCCGGTGTTGCCTTTATTAACTAAATGTGTGTGTGTGTTTGTGTGTGTGTGTGTGTGTGTGTGTTTGTGTGTGTGTGTGTATGTTTGTGTGTGTGTGTGTGTGTGTGTGTGTGTACGCTTGTGTGCATGTGTTCACATGCACATTCGCGCACAAGCATGTATATGTGTATGTGTATGTGTGTGTGTGTGTGTGTGTGTGTGTGTGTGTTTGTATGTATGTGTATGTGTGTGTGTGTTTGTGTGTCCATGGCTTGTATTCATTAACGATGCTACTTCCAGATTGGTAGTACACCATTACACCGTGCAGCATCCGGAGGTCATGTGTCCGTACTAGAATATCTACTTAATGCTGGACATTCATTGGAAGCGAAAGGTCCGGTAAGTCAGGATATCCCTGGTGCATTCTTGTTTGGGTGGATGCAGAAAAGAAGGATTACTGTACTTTCACGATTAGACCCCTCTCTTGAATAGTGCTCTATGTTGAAGAGTACCTCAGTCTCTAAGAGCACATGGAAAAATATATAGCCCTCTATTGAATTGTGCCCCCCCCCTCCCCGGGCTTGTAACTAAGCGCATGTGCACGTTTGGTGTTCCAGGACATGTGATAAGAAATCAGGGTCGTTCTGACGTAATGTGCTGACACTTCCCGGACATACCATTTTGCCACAGAAATCTTTGAAAGACAACCCGTTTTAAAATTCTCGACCCAACGATAAAAGACTCCGGGAAGCTTTTGAGCGAACAAAATTAATTTTCTCTGCTAACCGCACACAAACCTTGCACCTAACTACTTCACTCCTTCGCGTTCATCTTTGCATCTCTCATACTCCATGTTGAAAGGTCCTTGTCGTGCTCAGCAGTCCACTTGTCAAAATTGGTGGCACGCACAGCGCAGAGCTTCGTGCCATGAGGAGGGCCATCGTGGCCACCTTTTCTCTTCCCAATCTGTAAGGACTAGAACTGATGTCAGAAAATGCGAAATCGGCATTCTTGCACATACTTCTCCCACTATCAGTTAAATAACTCCACTACTAATTTGTTGGTCGATTTTCAAAATCTTGAGCTTTCTGAAAGGCTCTATCCATAAGGAATACATTTCCTGTAGACATGACAAGCATCAACGTAAATGTACAGTGGGCAAAGCAAGCGTACGCGCAATGGTCATGTCAATTGCTAGCGAAATACTCATCGCAATGCAATTCCCTCAAATTTTATCGTAGAGCACTGAGATTTTGCAAAGACCTCTGGATGCCCGTAGCCAGATTTGGTCATAGCACCTGGCTGGCTAGGGACGCGCAAAAATGGGCAAATCCCCAGCTGAAATGCATTTCACAAGCTCATAATACAGCTTGAGATATAGCCCGACTCCAGGACCTTGGGTCGCGTTCGGGTTTCTTCAAGGCGACAGCTGAGAGTTTTCTATTGCTGATAGATCGCTCGAGGAGGTCAAGTATTCGCGAAGTTAAGGAAGTTTGGGAGTCGTTTTTTAGTCTCCGATCAATCGGACACTATGTCTGTCGCAGGGATATTTCGGCTAGACAACGACCGAAAAGGGTCGGAAAATGTTCAATGTCCGACTGTTATTTCAAGGACTGATGTTCTTTTGGTAATGTTCTTGTCTATGTCATTGAACTGGTGGTTTCGGGATCAAAATCGCAGTTCTTGTTGCCATCTCTGTTGAGTCTGGATAGTTTACAGTAACTTTACCTTCTACCGACCCGTCTCCTCAAAGAAGCAGCACCAGAAACTTCAGAATCCCTGGCTGCCCTCCTGAACTTGACCTTTTGCACCCGGAGAAATTCCCCAAGACTGGAAAGATGCCACGATCTCCCCCAGGAGACCTCTCCTAGCCAACAAACTACCGGCCCATCTCCCTGCTCAGCATAACCTAAAAAAAACAAGAAAAATTGTTCACTCGCGCCTCTACAAACACATCTCACCGCACTTACCTTCTAACCAATCCGGATTCGGAGCTGCAACTTGCTCGACTGGTGCATGACATTTCGGAGGCTCGTGTCTCGGGAAATCAAATTAAAGCTTGCTTTTTTGACCTGAGCAAAGTCTTTGACAGAGTATGGCATCAGGGCCTCATGGCCAAACTCAAGCACTACGGTATCCAGGAAGCAGCACTGCGATGCTTCTCAGCGTACTTGATTGGGCGTAAGCAGCGAGCGCGAGTTGAAAGCACAACATCAGCCTTCCTCCCCATCCCGGCCGGAGTGCCTCAGGGCTCAGTCCTGGGACCACTGCTGTTTCTGGTGTACACCATCAACCTGCCTGCCGCTTGTGAGAACGCCAGCACCAAGTCCAGCCAATTTGCTGAAGACACAGCCTTCGTCTGCTCCAGCGGCTCTGCGTCACACTGCAAACTGCAACTGCAGAGCAGCGTGTCAGCCGCCGCTGGATGGTTGAAGCGCTGGCACCTCCTTATCAACACTGTAAAAACGATAGTCTTCACCTTCTACAACGGAAATCGCCCCCCTCGCTATCTCCCACACATAGAGCGCAACAATGCACATTTTATAAATGTCCTGCAACATCGCCACCTCGGCATCATCTATCAGCACGACCTAAAATGGTCAGCCCACCTTGACTTTGTGCTGAAGAAAGCCGTAAAATATTTTAATATTCTCTTTGGGCTCAGATCAACTCTACACTCTAAATCTCTCTCTCTCTCTCATTTACAAAACATAATATCCTGCCTATTATTTATTATGCATGCATTGCTGTCAGCCCACTCTCAATCACAGCCCTTGACCGTCTTGAGCGAATCCAGCGCAAGGCGGCCAGAATTTGCCTCCGTCTCCCCCTCTACACTGGTCTGAATCATTCAACATTGCTCCATCGGCTCAAATGGCCGACAATGTTCTCTCGCCGCAAAGTGAAGCTCACCCTTCTTGCACACTCCATAGAATACGAATATGCCCCACAACACATACACATGCTCAACACCCCTGCTCAAGTTACGGCCCAGTATAGCCTTCGACACGCACGCACTTGGCACCTCCCACCCACCAGAACCGATCGCTGTAAAGACTCCCCACTGTACAAGTCCCTAGAATACTACAATGCCATCCTGCTTGCATTCGTGACGTCTCCTCTCGACCTGCTTTCAAACAAGAAATCTGCTCACTGCTAATTAACTCATTCTGGTCCTGCAGCGCTCACCCTCTCCCATACTTGTAAAATTCAAAGTGATGCAAATCACTTTCCAACTGCATAACCCACAGCCCCAACCACAGCATCTCACCTTCTCATAAACGTATCCCTTATTGGCGATGGTGCCATCGTGAGAATAAAGAATTCTAAAAAATGGGTACTGTTAAGCACACTGAACTTGGTCTGATGTGCAAGTATAGTAGAACACTGGTGTTATGTTATGACGTAATGTAGTACAACTTTAGCTCTTCTGTGTATGCACTCACGCATTTCTTTGAGAGTTTTCTCTGTCATTTACAGATTTCATCTTGTCAGTTTTTCTTCTTCGTGTATTCCAACCAATACACTACTTGTCTTTTGTCTACCAAACCTAACATGGCGCAGTGAACTACTTGTAACCTGAGTACGGAATATTTGACAGCCTGTAATTGTCCGTGAATTCTGTAGCCTTGTATTTTCAAACGATCGATCGTGTAGCATAGGTTTCTTGTAGTTGTAGAATTTGTAGAATTGTCGTGATGGCGGAACCTGGAAGTTCCCCGATCAGTGCAGAAATTGCATCCCTGCTTGCCTTGATGCATCAGCAGATGAAAGCGGCCGAGGCACGCGAGACTCGCCTCACCATACTGGTTGAAAATGCAACGCGCGACAACCAGGGACCGCGCAGCACCTCGACATCTGACAATCAGAAACCAATTTCTGTCGAGCGACCAGTGTTGCTCAGCACTGCAACCATGGCCAATTTCAAGGCATGGGAGGAGGTTTGGAACGACTATTCTGTGTCTCAGCAGCTCACCAGCCAAAGTCATGAGACTCGGGTGTCAGCTCTTCGTCAGGCGTTTGATGCGGGCATTTGTTGTTTCAAGCTCGAAGATGTGATTGTCGTCTCCCACAATGCCGATGCTCCGGAGATCATCAAAAGCGTATATCGGACGGCAGCGGAACCCACTCCTTGATCAGATTGCTTTTTACAACAGGAAGCAGCAGCGGAATGAGTCGTTTGACTCATTCTTCACAGCGATGAGAGAACTGTTTGCGCAGTGCGATTTCCCTGACATGGAGCTGTGCAGCACATGTACACCTCAGTTGTGTAGTACTTGCCCCCAGAGCCTCCGCAAGGTGACGGACGACATGATGAGGGACCACATCGTACTTGGAATAGCCAACAATGCACACACCATAAGCTCCTGGCAGCTCCATCCCTCACCCTGGAAACCGCGGCAAAGATTTGCAGGCCTGAGGAAGCCGCACAGCAGACCAGAGACGGCATGGTACCTGCATAAGTAATTGCCGTGAAAAGGTTCTCGTACCAACGCTGCAAATCCGCGTGGGCGAGTATGCCGAAATCTGCTCCAGCCGACAAGCCAGCGAAGTGCCCGCAGTGCGGACAATCTCAGCACACCAAGTCAATGTGTCCTGCCAAGGGCAAAGAGTGGCTAGGATGTTGATGCTATTGCTGCTAGTCATCTCCGTAGACCTGGTGTTAGTGAAAGTAAGCAGTCATGCACATGCAAGAACAATGTCATTATGGTTGGTGTTGTTGTGAACTACCCCGTCTACACTGGCAAACATGCAACACTCACAGCCCACTCGACATTGGACTAGTTACTTGCTTTTGCACAAGAAGGACTAAAACTAAAAGAGCAAGAGAAAAAGGAAAAAGGCTTGTGCACCAAGATGACACGGACAAAATGGCGACCTACGTCATCGTGTGCACGCACAACAGTACTGGAAAATGGAAAACTGTCACGAACACAGAGCGAATTAATAATACAAAGCTCAAGAAGAATTGACACGTAGTGATCAACCGCAAATATGTTTGTTATCAAGAAAGGAATAGAGAGAGAGAAAGAGAGAGAGAGAGATGAGATGGCGTTGACAGTTACTTGGCCAATCTATTACACCTCTCCCTCCAGACGTCACTAATCAGGAACACTATCACATTGGGCGTCGACGGATAGCTTAAGGCATGGAGATCATAGGGTGGGACCAAGTCAATGTCTCCACCATCAAATTCTAGGGCGACGGCTTCACTATCACTAGCGTCACTATCACTGTCACTCTTGGCAGGACTCGGCTAAGCGCTGTGGACATCAGTAGTAATGTAAGGCAATTCAAGTCACCCCTCCCTTTACATCCTCAGTGTTCGGTAATACAGGAGCTCAGTCCAGCTTCAGCAGTCAATGTTGACCACTGTCTCTGCGCCATTGACATGGCTG